CTTGGGTAGTAACGCGTTACTAGTAACGCGTTACTGTAACTTTGTTACTTTTTTGGTAACTTCTAACTGTAACGAGTTACTTTTTAAAATGCAACTTGTAACTGTAGTTCTATTACTTTTTTCTAAGGTAACGATGCAAGTAACGACGTTACTTTTGTCGTTACTTTCCAGTGTTTTATGAATAATATATCACTGAACGAGTACAATTTAGCCATCTCTTGCACTTTCCAAATCGTCTATTCCGACATTTCGAGTGTCAAGTTGGCCTCGCACAAAGTTGTGAATACGTTCTTTCTCGCGAGTCACGACCCGAATATAGCCACGTGTAGATGCTATGAAAAAATATCTAGTTATCTTTACGCGCGCGCTTGTACTTTGTGAGTGAACACTTACATCTTAGTCTCTTGAAGCACTATTTCTGTTGCGGTTGTTCTTTTAGATGCGGAGCATCTCTTGCTCGGGTCTATGTCCCGCGGCGTCGTAGTCCGCACTCACACTACGCATGCGCAACTCTCCTCCTTCCCTCTCTCCAACAGCTGCGCGTTACTCTCTCCGCTCTCTCTCTCTCTACCAGCTGCGTGCACTTCGCGTGTGTTCGCTTCTACTCACACCGCGCGCGCATGCGCAACTCTCCTCCTCTAGTCTCCTCTCCTTCAAGTGTGAATATAAGCAGCGGTAGCGCGCTGCGCGCGTTTCTCCTTTGATTTCCTTGCTCTCAAGACTCTGACTGACTGACTGCGCGCGTTCAGTTCACCCGCTGTTGACTCCACTTCACTCCGTTCTTCCGATGAAGTGTGATGGAAGTAACAGTCCCGTCAGTCAGTGGGTTGGCGCAAGCAAGCGTCAGCACCACCCCACAAACTAACGTAATAACACGCAAGTTAACAACGTTACTAACAACGTTACTAACACCGTTAATAACACCGTTAATAACGATCCGCGATGCTCCGCATCACCCCATGGTTCCCCTCGGGAAGATGGTGTAATTTTTTCCTTAAGCAAACGCTTTTTAATCGGGTGAATCAACCGTGTAACAACAATACACGTGGAGGGCACTGCGCATGTCTCGTACTTTGATTAGCGCCACTACTCCGCTCTGCGCATGTTTCCTATTTTGATTTGCGCCACTATTCTGGCGTTGAAAATTTCAAACACAAACTTCGAGAAGCAACTACTGCTAAGTTACGATATGGAGTAAAAAGCGTACTTTTTAATCTTATGCAATAAAACATTGTGAAGGGCGTTTTCTAGTTTTTTTCTATTTTTGTGTGTTTTAGGAAAATAACTGAAAATTAACGTCGTTACTTTTCAAAAGTAACTGTAACTGTAACGAGTTACTCTTTTGTTGCGGTAACTTTAACGGTAACTTCGCTACTTTTTTCTGAAGGTAACTGTAACTGTAACGAATTACTTTTTAAAAGTTATTTACCCAAGAATGGAAAAGTGTATAATCAAAGCGAACAAAAAAAAACAAAAAAAACGCCGTGCTTGTTATGTTTATGCTTTGTGATTTGTTCTTTGGTGTTCTTATTAGCTAATGCTGCAATTTGATTGTTTGCGTAGCGATTATAAGATGCCCAAAACACGCCCCGCCAAGCAATGTTTTTTTTTTGTGATTAATTGCGTCGAGATGTAGGTTAGCTTTCAAGGAAACACATTTACAAAGTGTTAACTGCTGACAAATACTTTTTTTTAACTTTTATTCAGCGACGACTCATGCCAGAGTCGAAAATGACCTGGAGGAAAAGTACCGTGGCGTGGATTTCGACAAGGGTTGTCGGCCTGCCCCCGTGAGCGGACTGTGCAACGCCTATTTCGAGCGCTGGTACTTCGACGTGAGCGCGGGAAGCTGCGAGCAGTTCGTGTACGGAGGCTGCGGAGGCAACGCCAACAACTACAAGTCACAGCTGGAGTGCGAAGTCGCCTGTCTGCGTACGTCCCCTTACGCGTTTCGCAGTCACACAGTTTGTACGTCATACAAAATGACGAAGACGGATGATGATGATGATGCCAGAATTCCCCGCGGACACAACTTAAGCATGCTCGAAGTATGTTTAAAACATACCTGCAGACAGTTTTTCGTATGGCCAATGAGAGAGGTCATACAAGAAAGAAACGCGCTCAAGACAGTTTCGGGAGAATGTATTTTGAATGATGCCTGAGAAGTGTCATTGGGGTTTTAGTTGGCAAAATGGGGGATGGGGGAGGGGCGGAATCTGATACACTAAATTAGTCTCATCTGCAGGGATGCAACGAACTTTTACCGGACACAGAGGTTGATCTTGTTCAGCGAACTTTCGAACTTTTGGCGAAATTGAACGAAGTTCGGCGTTTGAACAGTATTGTCCGACTTCTACGTAGAAATTTCAAATATAGGGAGAAAACAAATAGACATATAACTGGTCGGTCCTTTCGAAATCCCGACCATTATTTTCTACTATAAAGAGACAGCGGGAGTACAGAGAAAAAAAAAAACTGATGTTGCAGCTTGATGAGTCCTCTACCTCCTTCTCCTTACAGCCCAGCTCCGTACAAGACATCAGCAAAATTGCAGTGGAAAAGTCAAACGCAATTTACTTGTACAACATTGGATATGTTTGCAACAATACTAAAGATAACTGATATGGACGCTATATTTATTTTACTTCACATTCGAATATGATTTCTTTTATTCCAGAACGACATGACTTTAGCATAATGCCTACTAATGTTTAGATAAAAAACAGAGACTGAAAAAATGCTCAAGTTTTTCCATAAATAATGAAGCCATCCTGGGTTATGAGGCGTCAGAAAGTTTTCGGTTTCCACGCAAACATATAAAGTTTATAAAAAAATTTGCACTTTGCGTTTAAACTTTAAAACTTTTGAACCTTGTTGAACGCAAACATCGGCAGATTCGTAGCATTCCCAATTGTAGAATAGTTTAAACTGACAAAACTACTCGACATTGTTGTTGTTTGTTTTTGTTTTTTTTTTTGTTTTTTTTACTCTCAGAGCATTTTCTGAAGCTCATAGCAGTACATCTTTACATTTATTTTGATTTGTCCTCTTCCCGCTTAAAAACATCGTGCGACGGGGTGATTGAATTAGTGTAACAAAGCATTGCGATGTATCCGCGGGTCTTTTAAAAACAAAGTTCCTCGAGCATTTGCACCTATAATTAATTTACGTTTATTTATTTATTTTTTGTGCAGGGGTTTGAAGCTTCATCGAACAACGAATACAATCTGGCAACGCCATACTCGTCAAACGAATTGTTTTACAACTCTTCACTTGTATAAATCTGAATAAAAATGTACAAAATGTAATACAGTGGCTGCTCAATGTTATTGCATGAATATTTTATCTTTTTTTATCAGCCTGTCCACGTCCCGGAACGAAGGTCCTAAGTGAAAATGTTTTCACCTTATTAGTCCTGGTTTGTTTGACAGGAGGGAAACTCGTACAAAGCTCAAATCATTACGCTCGAAATACTAACCATTACATAACTCAGCCTCTGCTGAACAAAAAACCCTTATCAGTCGTTGTTAATTTATATCCTGGCCGACATTGACGAGCAGTACCAGCTATATGTGTGTATATATATATATATATATATATATATATATATATATATATATATTAAACTTTGGAACAAAAAATGAATCAAAGCATCAAAGTTTTACGAACCCACCGAAAGCCGAAATAAACGGCGGAGCCAGGATTTGAACTCTGGGCCTCCCAATGTCCGGCCGGGTGTGCTGACAACTACACCACTCCTTTTTTTTTTCTTCATTATCTGATTTTTCAAACCAAACACACACAAACACACATATTTACATTACACACACGTGGTTACATGACATGGTTACATGACAGGTATATAAAAATGGGGAAGAAATATGAAATCGTCATCCCTTCAATGGCTGACGTTGACACCTCAAAATTTCGAGCGTTTCAATTCTAGGTAACCAATCAGGTACGGTCTCTTGTGTCCTACAGTTTGCAATGTACGCCCCAACACCTTGTAGAAAATACATCCTGGCCGGCTGAGCATCGACGTCAATATGGAGCCTCGCCGTGCGGGAGAGCCATAGACTGTGAAGGCCCAGGAGCATTAACAAATCAAAAGGCACCCCGTCCTCATTATCGGTGGCCAAAAAACGAATACCATTTGGGTCTAAAGGAAAATCTTTTCAGTTTTCCTTTTCTTTAATGCCGGTGAAGACACAATGAAAATGCACACGGTCGTTCACACACGTACAATTTGTTTAAGAGCGAATCAGCACCCTAGCGGCGGTCGCCAGCGCATTAAAATATTTTCAAACACACCAACTCATCTAGTATTGGCCATGCTAGATGAGCATTGGCCAATCAGGGTGTTCAGAGTGTGCACCGTATACCTCGCGAATATATGCCACACTTTCAAGTAAATTTGCTCTTATTGTTTTGATATTCACATCAGCATTATTAACACTCATTCTTGTCCTTTACAGACTTGTGGAGGCCAAGCAGCATGAACATAACGCAGGGGACCCCCCCCCCCCCCCCCCCCTCCTCGTTTTCCAGGGGCAAAAAGCGGATGCCATGTGCAGTTAAAGCTAGATCCTTCTTCAGCGTGCGCTGAAGAATGTCCCAATGAAACACGCGTCCCAACACTCAATAAATACGTGCTCTAGCGTCTCGGGTTTCTTGCAGAGGATAAAATTCAATTAAGAAAGTACAAAAATACCTTTCTGTCCTAGCCACGTTTTTACAGAAAGTACGCCGCAGTGCAATTTAAAGAAAAAATATTTCGCCGAAGATTTGATTGGCATTTTCTTCACCCTTTCAAGCACATCTAGCCCTGGACGTTCACAGTACAATGACCTATAAAGAGCTATTGGCAACAGTACATCTATTAAATCTTTATACAATCATTTTCGGATAACTGAGATACTCTAAGGAAAAGCGCACCTTGAGTATTTTGAAAGAAAGCACACCTTATAGGCAAGCTGAGGCCGGATTCACGAAACGTTCTTACGACAAAAAAGTTCGTAAATATAACTTACGCAAAAGTTACGAACTTTTTGGTATTCTCGAAGCAAAATGTTCTCAGTTTTTGCGTAAGTTACGACAAAATCCTACGACAGGGGTCCATTTCTTCTTACGAACATTTTCGCGACTGCTTGCTCAAAATGGCTGCCTACGTCGCCTTCTTACTCGACCAGCAGCGCGATGCGAGAAGGACTTTGCATCAGCAGCGTGTCTTCCGGACTCGTCGAACATTAGAGACGATCGCGGACCACCACCTCGAGCGTTACTACCGCTTGCCGAGGCCAGCCGTGCAGAGGCTCTGCGATGCTCTGGCGCCGGCGCTTCGACGCCCGACAGCTCGTTCGTGCTCGCTCCCCGTCGACGTTCAAGTGCTGCTTGCGCTCCGCTTTTATGCGAGCGGGAGCTTTCAGTCGGTGGTGGGCGACGTTGCAAACATCAGCCAGTCGAGCTCCTCACGGATAATCAACGGAGTGAGCAGTGCGCTCTGCGATCTCGCCAACAGTGGCATCAAGTTTTCCACGACGTCGCGGGCAGCGTTGCTCACTGCACGCGGTAAGTGTTTTCCCCAATGTGGGGACCGTCGGTTCAATGCAATTAACAAAGCCAGAGCCACGTTAGCGCGCTTACTCGGACTGATCCTTATATTTGGATCTGCGGGCTAAAATTCCGCCATCGGCGTCCGCTTTCCGTGCGCGACGCAAAGTTTTGCTCTGAGGAACCGATCTCTCGCACAACATGAGTGTGTAGGCTGTTCTCTGCCGCAGATGCAGGCTGAAAGATGGAGGATTTGCACCACGCAAAGTGGCAATTAAAATCACTGCCCCCCCCCCCCTCCCCCGTTTCCTGTTTAGTTAATTATGTTGAACGATCGTGATCGTACCTCATTTGAGGCATGTCTCATCTAGAAGTGTTATCTCAGGTAGGAAAAGTGTCTGCATTACCTGTTCTAGCTCTATAAAAATACGCCATAACATAATCTTTGTTGTTTAACCTCTAGGCTTCTTGGAGATCAACGGGTTCCCCAAGGTGTTGGGGTGCATTGATGGGACACACATCGCCCTGAAAATCGCGAAAAAGGAGCAGCACCTCTACCGCAACCGGAAGGGCTACGACTCGCTGAATGTGCAAGCCATCTGCAACGCCAGCAATGAAATCACACAGCTCACAGTGAAGTGGCCAGGAAGCACGCACGACAGCTTCATGTGGAGAAACTGTGACCTGGCTGACAAGTTCGAGGCGGGCAACATGCCCGACGGGTGGTTGCTTGGTATGCTTTGGTCCCAATTTATAGAGTTATTTGATATTTAGCAGCCTGAATGACAATGCCTTATCACACTTAGAATCAGAAATGTATGTAATGCATTACTAGTAATAAGTTACTTCTACCGAGTTACTTTCTAAGAAAAGGAATGAGTAATGCACTTAGTTACTTTTAACGCCAAGTAACGAGTAATGCACTTAGTTACTTTTAAGGCCAAGTAACGAGTAAATGTATTTCGTTACCTTTGAGGAGCAAAGTGTACAACACTGTTTAAACAGCCTTGTTTTGATTTTAACCTGAGTATGCATCTATTGCGAGAAAGGCAAATGAGCAACCCCTAAAAACGACTAAACGCTATGACAGTATAGCAACGTTTATCGCTGCACACGTCAGTCAAACTCTACAGCTGGGAATGTCCTTCACCGAGCGAACACAATGAGGTTAGTTGGTTGAACCTTCCAGAATCATGTACATAGCATCTTTTGGGGTAGACCAATCTCACCAACTACTCTGTGCACATGTGTCGCCACCATGACCGCAGTTCACAAAGAGCAGGCAGCAGTGCGCAGGACGGTCATACTGTTTCACGTTCTGCACGCGCAGGCTGGCAAATCGGTTTTCACGCCTGCGAAAGGACTGCAGCTCACAGAATAAATCGCAGCACAATGAGCACATCACAACCAAACTGGCTGGTAAAATGAGTCTATTGGATCTCGTCGAAAGTGATCATGATGCAGTTCACGAGCTGTTTTCGTGCGCACCTCATTATAATAAGTTATGAAAGCACACCAGCATAATGCCGATTGACATAGAAACTGAGAGAAGGTGGAAATCAAACCTGCGAACCTTTACGAGTGCGAACATTGGTTGAGTGCTTTGTTTAGTGTTGCTCACACATAGCTCGTTCGCAGCTGACATAGCCGTCAGAAAGAAACAAATTAGGTGGGAGTTGCACCAATGCAGCTACGAGAGGCAAAGTGTGAGGTAGTTAAATTTAGGTGGAACATTGTGTTGATTGCATTACACACTGGCATAAAATCTCACACCGTTTGCAATATTTTAGGGGACGCAGGTTACCCCATCCAGCCGTGGCTCATGACTCCCTTCCGTAAGCCGCGGAAGAAGGAGGAAGAGAACTACAACGAGTGCCTCACGAAGACCAGACAGGTCATCGAGAGGACTTTCGGAATCCTCAAGTCACGCTTCAGATGCCTGGACAGGTCCGGAGGGGTCCTCCAGTACACCCCTAGTGTGTGCTGCCGCATAATTGTGGCCTGTGCAGTCCTGCACAATTACTGCATCCGCCACCATGTTTCCCTCGCTGAACCACCCGGTAAGGCTTTGTGCATTGGAGCACTAGGAATGCCACATTAACGAGTTTAGCGACAGCATTGTTCGGTGTGACCCCGGGCTCTTCATTCTGCTCGTCACAAGGGGGTAAAGGGGAAACTAATTCTGGTCGCCTGCAAGCTCAACAGTAATCTCTTTTACAAGCTCCCTGCTTACTCTAATTTTTATTTTGTAGGTATCAATTCGCACACTATTATATAAGGTCTGTCACCGCTTGCAAATACAGGCGTTAAATTTGCTGGAGGAAAGTAACGCAAACAGTCCGCTTGATCAAAGGCGCAGTCAACTTTGGCATTCATGAAGCTTTACCTAGAGTCACTATATGGTTTCAAATAGTACCAAAACCCCAAAGCTCATTTCAGAACCGCGTTGTGGCGCAACAGTCACATTAACAGATGTGTCAATATGTCGCTGCCCTGCTTGGTCGAAGCGAAGTGCGGACCATGTAGTGTCCGCTCTCACTCGATACTTTCACCGTACTCTTCCGGCCTGCGGTGGCAATGGTTTGTTTTTATTGACCTTCTTAGCTTCATTCGAAGCGTTTGCATGACTTGCGCACCGCTGGTTCACTTCGGGACTCATTGAAGCTGAGGCGGATGTTCTACCTTTTAAGCCTAGCGTCTCATTCGCAGCACCAGCTCTCCCTGTGCGCTCAAACGAGCCAGCAGGGTTTGGCAGGCTAGATCAGGCTACTTAAAAAATAAGGTACTAGCGAAAATCAACACACCTTACGCCTGTTCTTAACTTATCGTGAGCGTCACTCACCTGCTGGCTGTAGACCAACTCGTGTTTGCAAACAAAATGGAGCGCCCCTAGCGGACGCCATCGGCGCCGCACATGTGCGATAGAGTGTGGGCAAGAAGCTCGCCGTCGTCCATAAGCAAAGTATTGAAATACGATGTTGTCGCCGTCAGTGTCAATCCCCGTGCTTTTTCGCGTTGGAATTTCTTATCCTACGTTTTCCTGGCAATGTGCGACTACTTTAGCGGCCTCAGCGAAATTAATGAGGCTCGTTACACCACAAAATTGCCTGAATAATGTGACATGCGGCGACTGATTCCACGTGGACACCACAGAATGGATGCTGAAGCCTGATTCGCACGATGACGTCGCTCGGGCTGCAATATGGTGAACCGTAGCTGAGATGGTCGACGTCGATACTAAGAATCTCAAGCAGAATCGGACCAAGTGAATCAGGCATAACAAGTCGGTGATGGCAGGCACGTAGCCAGGCCATGGGGCCCAGGCCCCCCTTGAAATCTTTCTTTTTGCTGGGGCCTCCTCTCCCCCCTCATACAGCCTTTTGTCATGGGCGGGCCCCCCCGAAACAAAATCCTGGCTACGTGCCTGGGTGATGGCCATGGGTGACAATGATCAACATCTCCTTGTATCTACTGTTTACACGGAGTCTACTTACACGAACCAACCTTCAAACTTAAAGGTCTTTTGACTTAGTTACTTCTGATCGGAATTACCGGGTCAACGTTCCGTCTACGGGACGCTGTTTGAACAAGCATACGAGAACAGGCAGAAACGTTTGAAAGAGCAGACGGCAGTTCGAACGATCAGGCGGCTGTTTGAATGTGATGAAGCACTGAACGTAGTCCGCAGGTGGTCCGTACAACTCTGGTTTTCCCTCCTTCATGTTGGAACAAAACAAATAAATCTGACGACCCCAAGTATCCGCTAAATCAACCCAAAGTGCTTCCCGCACAAGTAATTGTGGTCCGATGGCGTCTGGTTTTCCTCTTTCACGGCACCTATCCACATTCTCGGACGAACCGAGCAGGCAGAAAACTCATAAAAAGTGACCTAAACTTTCCCCGACTCCTCTGGTACAGCCCCAGCCACAGTGTATTGACGAAAAGGCGGGTTTTTGTATTGTTTCTTCCAAAAGAGCGTAGGAATGCATGTCCCACATGGTGATTTCTGCTCACAGCTACAGACCGGAAGTGCGCCCAATGCGCCACCACCGAGCCGTGACGTAATAGAGTTGAATTCGTGTATAAGGCTCCTCCTGTACATATTGCAGAAGTGATTTGATCTAGTGTCGGGAGGGTCTATTATCACGAAGGGCCCTGCACCGTGGTTGGCCACTCTGCTTCCAAAGTGGGTGGTAATGCCTCTCATATGTTAATTTTGGTATACACATGAGACCCACAATTCCCTTTCCATACTGTTATTTTCGTTTATGAACTTTTAATAAGCCTCTATCTGGATTTGAGACACCCGCAATTTATAAATGAGTGCTTCCAGCACCTTAATTCAGCTATTGCAGTGTTATAAGTTTAAATTGTGCTTGCAAGCCTTCGAGGTGTTCATTTTCTGTTGTGCTAAATGTGGCATCCTGAACAGTTCCAGAATCTGAGGACGAGGAAGAGGAAGAAGACGACAGGCCAACCACTGCCCGAGACACGGCCACTGGCACCGCCGTCAGGAATGAGCTTGTGAACAGCGTTTTCAAGTGAAACTTCAGGAAAACGAGAGTCTTCAGTGCATTAAAGAAACAGTTTATTGTTATTGTACCTAAGTAAGGTTTTATTAATACCTGGGGACAATTTTGCCATTTTCAAACCGAACATTCAGTTTGTATGCCTTCAGTGCCACCATCTGCTCCTGCAGGACCACAATCCTGTCGAGGCGTTCCACAATAGCCTCCTGGGTCTCGATTATCTCGTGGCTAGGGGCGTCCCTGCTACCTGCACATCAGAGAAAAATAATTTCTTTGTGATTGAAAACCTAAAATCCTTGCACCACTTTCACGCTACTGTTGTGATACTTGTATGGAAAATTAATGTCCAGGTGTAGCTGTAGGAAGCATGCATGAATGAGCAAAACAAGTAGTTAATGAGATAATTGGGGGATCAGTGGCCGAGTGTTAGTGCATTGCAGCTCAGAGGCTGTAGATTGCATGGCAGATTGCCTTGGCATGGAATTTACAGTGGATCTCTCTTCTCGCACATGTTTTTTTGCTGCACATTCTATCTAGTATCATTTTTGTATTCAGAGTTAAATTCGTATTGCTGCATGCTGCAATCCAAATCTAGCAGGACTATACTCACGTTTGTGGTTAGACCTGCGGCTACCTGAAGTGCACGGCAGGGCCTCGCTCTCCTGGAGCCCACCTCCGCTTGCACCGTGGACATCTGAATAGAAATAACAATAGAGCTGAGTACTAGGAAAATCTGCTGTTGAAGTATGTGGTCGGCTGTCGAGCAAGCATGATTATTCAACAAAATCTGAAGTCGCGCACCTGCATCACCCTGCGGGCGTTCCGGAATATTATCAGCCTGGCTGGAAGGCAAAAAAGATTTAGTTCTTATTAGGTAATGAAACAAGTATATTCACTATGTGCAATGTTATGATTGATAAGGCAGCAAACCTCGTATGTCGTGGCCTCACTGAACTAGGCCTGCTTGGTTCTGCAGTAGTATCTTGAACACAGATTAAGAAACATGTTGTACTGACCCAGAAAACTGAATCTTCGGTAAAAATATAGTACACTTCTGTCTACTGAGAAACCCTCAGACAAGGGAAGCGAAAAAAACAGAACAAACACAACATTAGATGATGGTACATCGTTGTGCTTGTCCTGTTTCTTCAACTTACTTGCATTGAGGTTTCTCAGTGTAACCGTTCACCAGCTTGCCTGTGCCTGAACTCTTATTACCGTTATGCCTTGTTTATCCAAATAATTTAGTCCCTCGTCGAGACCATTTGGATATAGAGCTATTTGATTAGTCAAGCTAGACTGAAATTTTTAGGCCGTGCTCCCAAACCAGGGGTTTGGTTTACAGGATGCCAAGGTGCAACATGACTAGTTAAATTAACCAGACCAGTATCTATTATGAACTCACCGAATGAAAAAACTAGGTCTACTGATCTGGGCCTAGCAGCGTCCGATGTTATGGGAGTGCCTGGAAAATTGAAATTTTAATTAGGAAACATACTACTTATGAAACATTTTTTTGTTGTTGTTTTAGTGTGGTAATGTGGGTTTTAATAGAAAGGTGACATAATTTATATTGGAAAGATAAAGTAAAACCCTCTCTGACTAAGCTAGGGTCCAGGAATGGAATTAGTATAATGAAAGAGCATAATAATTATGAGATACCCATTAATGAAGGAATGCTAGTGCCTTGCCGAGCCTCCTGTTAACCTACCGGAAAGCGGCAGGCTGAAGGGCTCGCCATTAGGTGCCTCTGCAGGAACACCAATGTCGAACGCGCCTGGGATGCCAATCATGGCCTCCACATTCAGAAGTCCCACGACCCTTTCCTCCATGTCGTTCAGGGGCTTGTCTCCTACGCCGCCTCCAGTCGCACACTGACTGCGCTTGAGGGCTGCACCTGTGGTTAGTACCAAATAACATTGCACGGATCTCGTCAGAAAAACGAGATATACATCGCGCGACTGATCAGCTGCTCCTGGATTTTCTTCGCGTAACAGACTGCCACTGTACTGTTGGTGAGTTCGAATGTTGGTTAAAACCAGTGACATCTAACTGCGCATTATCTCGTGCACGACACTGGTATGAGCGAAATTCAAACGATTGCACATTTCATTACACAATAACCTTCTGCGGCATTCGGGAACATAGCACTCGTCGCCCTTCGGCAACTTCACATCTTCAAGACTGCCGCCAAAAGTAATAAAAACTAACTTGAAGGAGTAAAATGTGCTCGCTCGTAGGCTCACCATTCGCGCCAAACGTTTCGCGTTACGACGCATATCGCAACAACTTAGTTCGCGAACTGTAAAAATGGGTTATCTTACCTCGCTTCTTCTGGGAACTCTTGTAGTCAGCCCATTTTTTCTTTACATCGGCGATCTCTCTTTTCACCCCAGACACAGCAAGCAAGTCATTCGTAATCCTCTGCCAAGCCCGCTGCTTGGCGGCCGATCCATGGGGCCCGTCTCCTTTCGCGTCGATCGCGATTCTATGCGCTTCATACCCATCAACCAAGGTCGATAATTCGACCTCTGAAAAGTTCTTCATCCGAGCCTTCTTGTCGGCGGGCGATGTCGACATTTCCCGGTGTCTATCGGTTTGACCGGCGAGAACGAATGCACGTGGCAGACAAACGCATGTGTGCGGACAAAGCGTCCCCTGCGGTTGACATGGCAACGCTTCCCTCTTGCAGCTCACGTTGGTCGCGAGACACCGGAAGTTTCTCTCTTTCCCTCACTTTTTTTGTCGTAGGATTTTCGTTCGTAAGTAGCCCTTCGAGAATACCGATTTCGGCATGTCGTAGGAACTTCTTGGGATACGAACTTCTTAGAAAAATTGTCTTAAGATAAGACGTTCTTCGTGAATCCGGCCTCTGGTGATTCCAAGCGGTTGGCCCAGGCTGCCCCTCCGACAATCATAAGTGGTCATCTTGACCACGAGGGGGCTAAGGGCAACTGGCCACGCGAGCGGCGCTCCGCCGCTGATAAAAGGCCGTCGCAGCGGATGCGCGGGGGCTGTTGGGATCGCGGCGCAGGCGATAGCGCTCATTAAATGTTTACGTGTTGTTGAACCGGTGTGCTGTGTCATTCTCCGAGACGGGTAGCAGCAAGGGAAATCCCACACTGGCGCCCAGACGTGATATGCTGCTCGTCTGGGAGGATGGCAGCAAACTGGCTTCGTTCTTACGTTTTACATAGTCAATTTTGCGTTCCTGAGTTCGCCCACAGTTGAGAGGGCGTTACTTCGCAAGCCTAAGTTCATCGACCTGCGGAAGCCTCCACTTTAACACGATGCCGTCTACAGAGGACGCCGACAGAAACGTGAGTGAGGACGACCTTTCGACGCTCGGTGCACTGGCGGATAACGCCGCCAGCGACATAAAACCAGACGCTAAGCCTGCAGTCTCAGTTCCGGCAGGCGCATCATCAGAGGGTGGTCTAGCAGAACTAAGAGTGGCTATCACCATGCTTCTTAACATGCAACGAAAGCAGATGATGCGCTCAAGCCCCACTTTTGCTGGAAGCACGCCCCCCAGGGACTACCTAAGGCTCTCGCTTAGCGTTCCGGTTTCTTCGGGGTACACAGATAGAAAGTCAGCCGCGATGCATTTTTAATGGACACCCGGGCGCTCAGCTCACACCGCTCGCGGTGTTGAGACTCCCGGCGTGTCTGCTCTCGCATCGACAACCGGGCGGCTAGCTCACAACACTTTCCGTCATGAGACTCCTGGCGTGTCGGCGTTCGCGTTGCCACCCGGGCGCCCAGCTCACACCTTCGCGGTCTTGAGACTCCCGGCGTGTCTGCTCTCGCATCGACAACCGGGCTGGCCAGCTCATAACACTTTCACTCTTCGTTGTGAGACTCCCGGCGTGTTCGATTTTGCATGGACACCCGGGTGCCCAGCTCACACCGTTAGCGGTCTTGAGATTCCCGGCGTGTCTGCTCTCGCATTGACAACTGGGCGGCCAGCTCACAACACTTTCCGTGATGAGACTCCCGGCGTGTCGGCGTTCGCGTTGACACCAGGGCGCCCAGCTCAAACCGTTCGCGGTCTTGAGACTCCCGGCGTGTCTGCTCTCGCATCGACAACCGGGCGGCCAGCTCATAACACTTTCCGGTAACCTGAAGCAGACTCCTGTATTGCATAAAGAGCAACACAAAGACTGGGACGCGAAATTGGCAGAAATGGCATTCGCTACCCGCACAACAATCAACCGGTCCACGGGTTTTACTCCTTCCCAACTTAACTTTGGGAAAGAGCTCGTGTTTCCCCTGGGAAACGGCCTCCTTTGCACAGATCCTGCAAGCATGCAGCGCACTACCACGCAGTTCGCAGAAGATCTCCGAAAGCGTTTCACGGAGAACCTGCGTGAAGCTAAAGAGCCTCGACGTCTCGAGACTGCAGCAGGCAAACCAGTACAACAAGGGTAGGCGAAATCTGCAGTTCAAGGTAGGAGATCTGGTACTGAGGCGAACTCATCCGCTGAGTGATGCTGCTAGAGGCTTCACGGCCTCTTTAGCAAAGAGGTGGGATGGCCCCTGCCGTGTTAGTAGGAAGCTCTCCAACCTGTCTTATGAGCTGGTGCATTATGAATCTAGTGAAGTGTGCGGGTCTATTCATGTAGCCGACCTAAAAGCTTTCTATGAACCCGAGGATTTAGATGTGTCGCAGGTTCCAGATGACGACTATCCGGACCACCTCTCGGAAGATTCCACACCGTCTCTACCGCGGTACAACTTGAGACGGCGGTGAAGACAACCGGGAGTAGCAGAAGCTCTAAGTGCATTATGTTCATGCCCTCTTCGGTGTTTTTGGAGGGAGAAGAGAAAGGGACCGCGCTCCCACATGCACAGCGGGGCAGGCATCTTTCGTATGCGCGGTTACTTATTCCTACCGCGCCATGGCTTCATGTTGGTTTTAATTTCTAGTTCCTCGTGCCAGACAGCGGCGACGCAGCTCTCATCATCAGACCACCCCCCCACAGCTGCATCGGTACTGTCCGGAAGTACTGACGTCGGACCCGTGCTCGCCCATCTGAGAAGACCCTTGCTGACTCAGAAGAAAGCCGCCCCCCCCCCCCCTCCCCCCCCCCCCCCCAAGACCATCTAAGACGTCCTCTGTTTTCGTTTTTGGAAGGGGGGAGATGTGGTGGGCAACCTGGCGATTCCAAGCGGTTGGCCCAGGCTGCCCTGCCGACAATCATAAGTGGTCATCTTGACCACGAGGGGGCCAAGGACAACTGGCCACGCGAGCGGCGCTCCGCCGCTAATAAAAAGGCCGTCGCAGCGGATGCGCGGGGGCTGTTGGGACCGCGGCGCAGGCGATAGCGGTCATTAAATGTTTACGTGTTGTTGAACCGGTGTGCTGTGTCATTCTCCGAGACGGGTAGCAGCAAGGGAAATTCCACAAACTTCACGCAAATAGCCTTGTACACTAGAACGCATTTGATTACTAGATGACACCACAGACTAATGAAACCCGGGTTTCTCAAAATCGGCGCGCGCTCCGCAGGCAGCGAGTCGCAGAAACAAAAACAGCCGCGGTAACGACAAGGAACAGCAAAGCAGACGACATCAGTAACCCGAAAAAAACAGTCAAAATATCCCGACAAAACATTTTTTTAATCGATTATCTGTCCATTCAATGTGTTTTAATAGTACGGATGATAAAATAATGCATTGGCAACTTATAGAAAAAAAGCTCGCGCCCCTTTTGAGTCGAAAATATCGTCCACTAATGACGCCGGCTCTCGGCGCCGTACGCTCGTTCGTTGGCGGAAGTTGGCGTCGCCACCACTTGCTCCATCTCTTGTCTCCCGTGCGTAGCGGCGCCATAATGTTTGAAGAAAAGTGGCTTTGCTGCGTTTCCATAGGCGCTAAGTCTTTTTCTTTCTTTACTT